TTGCTCATGAAAAAGAGTTTGCATGAATTAGATAAGAATTCAGTGCCATTTTCTATTCTAACTATTTTGACATGACAATGGAACTGAGCTCTTACCATGGCAAGAAAGTTTTTCATAAAATAATACGTTTCAGATTTGACTTTCATTAAGTATATCCAAGTACATCTAGAGAAGTCATCCACAATGCTAAAAAAATAATGAGCACCTGACTGAGAAGGGGTTGGATAACCTCTCCAAATGTCACAATGCATAAGTTCAAAAGGAGAAGAGCATTTATTCAAACTAGAAGTAAATGGGAAATGGGTATGTTTAGCCAAAATGCAAACATCACAAAGTGCAACAGAACATGAAAAAATATCTAAATGAGATGAAAGTAAACTAGCCAAACTATATCGGGATGGATGTTCGAGTCTTCGATGCCAAAGTTCAGAGTTTGAACCACGATGTGCAGGAAGAGCAACTTGTTTATTTCTTGGTGGTTGAACATAGTGATACAACCCATCTCTTATCTCCCCCAATCCAATCAGCTTCTTCGTTTTCAGGTCCTGAAAAGCACAAAATGTTAAAAAAAAAAATGACAACACAGTTCAATAAATCAGTTAACTTACTGATGAAAAGAAGGTTAAAATTGAAAGATGGTACACAGAACACCATCTAACGTAATAGTGGAAGAAATAATGGACTCTCCAGTATGAGTAACATACATGCTAGCACCATTTGGAAGACGTACAAGTTTAGCATGAAAAAGCAAGGATAAGTTGGGTGTAAAGTGGCTGGAATCACCTGAATCAATGACCCAAGAGGTAAGTGGAGAGTGGACTGAAGAGTTACAATGTTGTATATCTGCAAAGTTTGCTGCAGAGGGTTGTCCATCAGTGTTCAAGAGTGACAAAAGTTCCTGATATTGACTGGTGGTAAGTTGTGAAAGTGGAGTTACAGCCCCACTTGAAGAAGAAGCAGCAAAATTAGTAGAAGGTGTTGTAACAACAGTTGCTTTGGAGGCTCCAGCAGCACGTGAAGCAACGACCATACAAGATTTTGGATGCCATGATGGGTACCCATGCGATTCAAAACATTTATTGCGGTCATGGCCTATTCCATCACAGTGAGCACCAGTAGATTTTTGTTTTCTACGACCAGATATACATGGGTTTTGAGGTGGATGAGCACGCGAAGTTGCTAGAGCAGCAGCTTCTCCTGCAGAAGCATTAATAACTTGGAGATTTCTTTGCCTTTCTTCTTGTTGGACCAAAAAATAAACCTTATTGATGTTTAACATAAGTTCCATGGTCAGAATCTGGGCCTTTAGAGTTCTAAAAGTTTCATTTAGCCGTACAAGAAAGTGATATACATGTTCAGATTGTAGATGGGCCTGCACTTCTTTGTTTGCTCCACATGAACAAGATGACTTCTTTGTATAAGAAGTCAACTGATCCCACAACATCTTTAATGATGTATAGGGAGCACAGACTGGCAATTGTTCTTGCTAGATCTTTTCAATTCATAGATTCTCTGACCAATCCCTAGAGAGAACCTATTTTCAAGGTCTAACCATATCTCATCGGCAGAATCAACGTAAATCACGCTGTTGTCAATGTCAATGGAAACACTGTTGAGCAGCCATTAAATCATCATGTTGCTACAATGTTCCCAAGCCATAACTATGGAAGTTGGAGAATCTGGTTTCTCCGAACTTCCATCAACGAAACATAGCTTATTCTTTGTTGCAAGTGTCATTTCCAAGTGTGATAGTTATCGCCAGTAAGTCGTTGAGAGACTAAGACGATACCTTGATTATCCGAAAGATGCAGGTAGTATGGTGAGGAGTAATTGATGGCAAAACTTCCTCCAATCCTGTCAATTGTCAAGTCAGACGTAGAGTCGTTGTCTTATTGATTACTATTGAGGTAGTTAGACGCTATGAGAGAAGTTCAAGCCTACGTTTCCGCTGCTGAAATTTGGGTTTGAATCTGCTGCCCTTTCTCTCTCTAGTCCAATACCCTAAGAGATGAGGAACAAAATGAAAGACCAAGTGGCTCTCTCTAGTCCAATACCCCAAGAGATAAGCAACAAAAAGAGAGACCAAGTGGGATAAACGTGAGCCTCAAAGCAAATGGAAACTTATAAAGCCATTTTGCAATTCAGGTCCAAGCAATTGTGATAATGGCAGACTTGAATTGCAATTCCAGCAAACTGAGCAATTCCAAGGTTCCTTAGATCTTGCACCTATTGAGCAAATGGAGAGTTGGAATTGTTTGCTAAAAGAAACTTGGAATTCCTGAGCAAACCGAATTTGCTTTGATACCATATTAAAATGTGAAAGGGTTATATTCATTATGAACAAAACGTCCCACTTATAGCTGCACAAGATAAAAGATAGATACAAATAACTCTCAATTTGAAATGATGAGATAACAACAAATAGTTATAACAATAACAAGATCTCAATTTGAATGGGTTTTTTAATTTTGAATTTGAATTCGAAATCATCCCATTTTGAATGGGTATATTCTAACTTTGAATTTGAAATCGTTAATACTATTCAAAGTACTGATATCTTTACCCCAAAATTTTAGAGCTAGGTTGGTATGACACATCATAGACCTAACCATATCTATTAAAGTCCTATTACTCATCTTAATTACACTTGTTTCGCTCTTTTGCCGGCGCGAGAGTGCATGGCTCGTGCATGCACTTTGTTATTTTCTCGACTCCAAACAATGATGGATAAATCTACTGGGAGATCTGGTTAAGTATTCAACACTTTTTTTCTAGCGCGGAATTTAGCCCCGCCTTGCTCGTTTTAAGTGGGAAGGAAATGCATCTTGACGCGATAACCAGGGATCCGACAGGGGTCGAACTTGGGCTACGCTCCGATCTCCCAATTTAGTTCTCCCTTTGGGTGTTTATGAATTTTGAGCTTTTCTACATGTAATGTAATTTGGTAATTTGGATGCCCTAGGGTTTATGGAAATTTTTAAAATTGTTTAGAAATTTTTAGGTTATTTCCCAGGGTATTGGGGTATTTTGAATTCTAAAGCGAGGTAATTTGGGTACAAGAAAGTTTTCCAACTCTAGAGAAGAGGGCAGGAGGGTTTCTCTCTCGAGAGGAATGGCTAAGAAAAATTTCTATGATCACGATCACCCTCGAATTGCAGACCATTTTGCTCGGCTAGGCCTGGGAAGTATAATAGTGGGCCCCAACCATGGTCCCTCGAGAAGGCAGGGGCAGCATTGGTCTTTCGCTCAGCTACCTGCCAATTCGCTAGAAGGCTTCCAGCGGTACCATCAAATGTGGGTGCCAAAAAAATGAGTAGGCGCGGGTGTCCCCAAAGATACACCTTGGACTCTCATGTCTCTATGCTCCTCCAACACTCCCTCATGGGGCACCATCTCTAAAACTAGTAATAACCGTAACAAATCTAGTAAAAACCCGAATTTTGTTAAGGGAAAATTAATTGAAAACATAAAAGACTCAACAAATCAAGAAAACTCGACAAGAGAACACTTAATCAATAATAATGAATCGGACCATTCCTTCTCGGACCAGTAGGAGGCCGAAGCCAAAAGTGATCTTGAATTAGAAGAACTCAAAGCCCATATAGAGCTAACTTCCAAAGAGACATTGGATGTTAACCTAGGTACAAAGGAGGACCTGTAGATAACCAAAATTAGGACTTCCCTATCACTCAAGGAACCGGAGAATATGGTGAATTTTCTCATGGAGTATCAGAATGTTTTTGTATGATCATACAATGACATACGGACTTTTCTCATGGAGTATCAGAATGTTTTTGTATGATCATACAATGACATGCGGACTGGACCCCAATCTAACTGAGGATTACCTTAATATCCATGAAGGGTGGCTGGACCCCAATCTAATTGAGCATTACCTTAATATCCGTGAAGGGTGGTTGAGGCTTAGGAATGGACTTTAGGTATAGATGATCAGGTGGTAGATGTCCTAACATGATGTCTTGAATTCTATTTCTACCTCAGATAAAGGCATTCCCACTAATCAGCTACAAAAAAAAAAACACAAAAAAAAGGTTGGGGCTTCCTTGTAGATCATGCTATGATTTGAGTGGATGTCCTCCGTGATATGATTTGAGGGAGGCATGTAAATTTCCCTAAAACTATTCCTCATAGGTAATGTTTGGGACATGTATTTAAGCTTATGAATGTTTTGGTGAGGGTTGAATTGAGGGAGATCCTGATTTGAGGGAGGCATGTAAATTTTCTAAAACTATTCCTCGTAAGTAATATTTGGGACATGTATTTAAGCTGATGAATGTTTTGGTGAAGGCCCTCCCTCTTAGGCTCATCCAAATCTTCTTTTTTTTTTAGTTATTAATTTTAGGGAAATTTATTGAAATATTTATAAGATATTAAAGATTTAACATTTTATCAATTTACAATTATTCCAACTCAAGATGATGTATTTTTTATGAGTATTTTAAAATTAAATAAAACAAAAATGATTTGATAGGGCTGCAGCTCTATCAAAATAAGTAAAGTCTCACCTCATAACTCATTGAAAACTGCAATTCAAGTGTTGAAAAACCTTTAAATTTGAATTGAAGCTCTAAAAATAGCCGTATATTACGACATGTTATCTAGACTGTCTATTTTGACCTAGAAATAAATGTTCACGAATTAACAAGATATGTACCCTATATTTTAGTTTCAAATTTTATTATCTATGTTGGAAATAGATTTTAGAACCATTCTAGAAATTTTCAATGTCGAAAGTACTTTCCGGATTAAGATTTGAGGTGAGGCTTTATTTTATTTTCATAAATCCTAGGCAAGTGAGATGTTAATTGGTCATCTTTCATGAATAATTTGATAACTTTTCCTTATTTCCTTCGACGAGAAAAATAAAGAAGCTGTATATTGGCTTCCAGTGCTGGGGGCAAATTTGATGTTAAGCAAAGTTAAGGGTATAAATTGGCATTTAAAAAAAGGGAACCACGGCAATTGCGTAAATACTTCGAGCACCATTCGTATACGAATTGTCTTTTTTCTTTTTCTTTTCCAAAACAACCATTTACTTTTGCTAATTTTCTCTATCTTTAATGAATTTTCTCTGAATCAATTTCTTTTACACGCAGGTGCATTCAATTTCTCAATTTTCATATCTCTAAAATATTTGTTCCTCTTGCCAGTGGATACAAACTTGAATTCTCCCTTGGTTGTTACAAAATCTTGGCCGGACCACACCATTAGCTTTTCTACAGTTTCTCTCTCTAAAATCATACGAGTGAGGAGTCTCTCTCTAGATAGGGCCTGGAATTATCTGATATAGTAAAGAGTGGGGTCTCAGCGATGTCCATGTCCAAGGAGGACAACAACTCTTTCCATTCTCAGGTAAAAATTTATCTGATTCAAGCTTGCATCGATAGTTATATCACATTACATTTGGCTTCGATTTAGTATGTACCCAAGATTTGGATTTTGTCAATTCATTATTCTGAAGGTATGCTTTTGTTGGTAAAATTGCTTTTGGCAGTTTCAGAAGCGATCAGATCAAAGAAAAATGAAATGGGGTTGCCTTGACTTGTTTCCTTTTATTCATGATTGTTTTTATTGGTTTTTCTTCTGTCTTTTTTCTTTGGCGGCCTTGAATCCTATGAACTTTCTTTTTTTAGTTTCTGGAATTGAGATTGGATCAACTGGCTTTGATTGGCTGTGTGGCATCGATAGTGTTGAGAAGATGTTTACTTTAGGAGTAAGAAAAGGTAGATAAAGGTGGGGTATCAGTGAAATATGGTGCATATTTTTAATGGCTCTGAAACATCTAGACTCCATTTATAATTCTTGGAATACCCAAATAGAAATTGAGCATTTTCATGGCTTGAAGATTCAGAAATGATGTTTCTAACGAATGAAGACATCTATAAATATTTATTCTTCAGGAGTTTTGTGGAAGATTGTATCCAAGGCCTTCATCTAATGAATGTATGAATAGGGTGTATCGTTGCGATAAATCTGGCAATGTGGTACAAATTGAAATTGCTTTGCTTTCGTATGTAATGATTTTATCATGATTCGAATGATACTCTTGTTTGGGTACCTTACATGGATCAAGGGATCCATTAAATGTAGTTTTGATTCGCTAAAGCCTCACTAGCCTTCACGGGGTACTTTTACTTTGCAAGGGGCAATGGGTCCCCTAGTTTCATTTTGAGGTGCTTTCAATTTGGAATTCCTTTGCTTCATGTACAGTGACTTTATCATGAGGTAAACGTTGCTTTTGTTTGGGTACCTTTATATGGATCAATGAATCCATCAACATTAGTTTTGGTTTAATCAAAGCCTCACTAGCCATCTTGTGGTGGTTTCATTTTGGGGATTACTAATGTGCCAAAAGCTCTACAAGAGGCTACAAACTGTGAACCACTACAGTCGTTATCACTGTCTTAGTAACAAATTTGTCGTTCAATCTGCTACGGTATTCCTGGCTTGTTAACATGCAGAGCACTACAAATTTATCTAGGAGAAAGTTGGGATTTACTTATCAAATGGAAAATGTGGGATTACAATAAAAAGGAAAATGGAAAGGGTTGAATTTACTTGTCAAAATGAGCGAAAAAGTGGGATTTCTCAGTACTTAGCTCCCCAAGACATGGAAAAAGTAGGATTTCTCAGTATTTAGCTCCCCAAGATTCCTCTTAATACATCTATTCCACTGAAGTTGGCATTTCTTTTCTCATGCTGCTAGGATGGGAATCTATGCCTTAAAGACATTATGTTTATGCCTTTAGTGAGGAACTTCTTGGTTCTTTTTGGCCAGGCTTAATTGCTTACTGTTATGTCGTACTTTGGAATGGTAAGGTACACATTAAGTCTAAGAAAGTCTTGATTCTTATGGAAATTGTGACGGATTGTTCCTATTATCTCAGGATGAGTTATTTTGTATTCTTGATCATGATGTTCCTGTCATGCCTGATAACACTAGATGAAATGGGGAGCAATCATCCCATAATAACATGAGCGAAATTGCCCATGGATATTCTTTTTGTTTATGTGGAATTCCAGACTGAGATACATTAGCAAAGATAGGACACAAAGAATGTTTACTAAATGTGGTATGTTGAGTGATATAGACAAAGAAGTTCATGAGAGCACTAATATTTTTTTTGTTTTCTTTCAGAAAGTTATCCGTCCTAAATTTTAGTTTCCTATTAATTATCCTACAGTGCTACTTTCTTTTTCATCATGGGCAATTGAATGGCTAATTGAGTAAAGTAAGCCAAACAGTCAACTCGCCGTATTTAACCATGGCAAACTAGCCCTTCAACAATGACAAAACTATCCCTTGATGTGTATCCAACTATCCATTGAAGAGACTCCTGGTTGAGCTCATCAGGTTAATGTTGGAGAAACCAGCTTCTGGCTGGTCTAAATCATTCATGAATGGACTGCTGGGGTTCATTTGGGTAGAGCTAGAATTGGGGGTCTATAGAGAGATAACATGGGTCTTTCCTGAAGTACTTTCCATGCCTGTGTGGGCCTTGGTTCATATACACAAAGGAACTGAAAGAGTTATGTCCTCTAAACCAAGATTTTGCAGCTTTATTGATTGAATTAGATATTGATTCCCTATTATTTCTCGTACAACTCATGAGTTTTTCACTTTGGAACTTACGGCTGCTCATTTACATCAATAGAGGTCTTTTGAAAACTTTCCATGTAACTGTGAAAGTAATCAAATGGATGAAATGCTTGCTAAGGTATATTGATAGCAGCCAAACATTTATAGGCATAGTCAAACTCTCCAAAAAGGACGGCTGGAGAGTTTGTTTCATCAACTTGCATTTGCAAGGAAGTGAGTGTAAGGATTTTGAGGCCATTAAAAGAAATTAAAGGATATTGAGATTGTTTAGAAAAAGAGGTGATAGACACATATGGGGATCATTCTTTGTGCCACAGCAGGTGGGAGTGTCATGATTAAAATGCTTGTGATACAAGCCCCTAAATTCAGGATGCTTGATATGCATGGAGAGTTGGAAGATTGAAACCTCAAGCTATCCCTTTCTTGAGGCACAAAATAGTTTCTTAATCCAGTAAAGGTGGACCTCTTGGGCCTTTTCATGTGAAGAAGTACAGTGAGCTTCCTGCTAAAAACAATGTTTACGTAAGAGATTAATCTTATATCTTGAGGCAAACAAAAGTACTCAGTAGATTAGATCTTGCATTATTCTGCATTTTTCCCCCTAATGATGAGCCCAATATGAGTTCATGATCTAAGTATATAGGTGAAATAAAATATTTCTCACGATGGTTATGAGTAAGACCATATTTTCACCTCTCATTTATGCACTTTTTGTGGCAATTAAAGACCTTGGAATTCTTTATCTTTCTGTATGGAACAGTAGTTGAGGGTTTCTCAACATCACTACTGTATTTAAGTACAAAGGCCAGTCTCAATTAGCCCATGAACTTATCTTAGATAAACTAAGCGTTCGAGTTTTTCTATCATTAACTTGTGATGATTATTCCTAACTTGGATGATGGATGTTGGGTGATGGTGACTTAAATTAACTGACAAAGATTCTAGAATTGATGCACCGTACTCTGCCCAATTTTTTCAGCACCTATTAGCAGAATCAATTTCATTATTTCTATCAAATGTGTCATCTTGGATATAAATTGTAATAATTTACTAATAATTGATTCATGCCTAGAGACCCTAGAGTACATGCTATAGAGTCATCAACTTTAATATAGAATGAATATCCTAGTGTTTTAGACTGTTTGGTTATGGAGTATTTGAACTGATGGAAATCATTAGTGTTGAGTATTGACCAAATATTAACTTGCCCTTTTGATTTTATCATTTTTCCTATTTTTCATATTTATAAAAACTAAAATTGTATTTAATTTTACTCTATGTACTAAGAAGTTTGTTTTTATCTACTCCTTGCTAGACCTTGACTGAAATGCAATTGCACTTAACTTAGTTTTGGCTTCCTTGATTTTATAAGCATTGATTGAATTATTCGCTTTTATATCTCTTAACAAATATGCAATTTCATGAAGTGTTAAGCATTCCACTTGATTACTGTTTCTCGAGCATGATCTTTCTTGATTTTGATTGTGACACTTCCTTCTTGGGTTACCTTCAAGCTTCTCTTTTACAGTGAGACCAGTTCTCATTTTTGTGCTTCATTTATTTTTCTGATAGTGTTTAACTTGGCATTGGAGTTATTTATTTATTGTTGTATGTGCAGTTATCATCTCATCTCTTCTCTGATCTTCTTGACTCACTGATAATTGATGTGGCATCTGAATGCCACCGGGTAGCAAGATTGGGCCTTGATCGAAATTTGGAGGAAGAAGAAGAAGAGTTGAGACTCTCAGCTCAGGCCAGGGTTATGGTGGCAGATTCAAGTAGCAATTGTGAGACAAATAGCAAATATACGACGGATATCTTTGGGCAGACACATCCGGCTGTTGCAAGTGAGATCTTTGAGTGCATGAATTGCGGGCGCTCAATTGTGGCTGGTAGATTTGCTCCTCACTTGGAAAAGTGCATGGGAAAGGTGGGTCTCTATGACATACAATACTTTTCTTTCTTAGGAAGAAATGGTGGGTTTCAATAGCTTGTCATGCCTTTATTCTTGTCAAAGAGAAAACTAACATTAAAAGGTGGGGTTTGGTAGTGATTCTCTTTCTATCCTTTGATTGATGATTTGATGGCCTGTTTTCCTGATCTCCCAACTTCCATCTGATGTAAGATTATCTAAACAGGACAAAATGTGAGCATGTCCGCTGTTAATTCTATGAGTGGCCTTATAAATTTTATGCTCGAATTTGACATCTCATTGACTGATGAGGGTTTTTCTTGTTATATCTGTGATATATGGGTACTGACCTGCCCAAAACAAAGCACAAAGATAATAACATTAATAGTTACTCTTGATGTTGGTGAAATAGAATACTTTGATGTATCAAGGGATAAAATTGTTATTAATGGCTGTTTATATGTAAGATCGCTATTCAAAATAAATTATATATAATATTTGATGCACACACTGGCCAGAGCATCAGAAACATTTCCACCTTACATCCAAGTCAGAAACCCAGCCAAGAGGGGCGTCATAGATCTAGTCAGAGAAACACAATCAAGAAGGGAGCCATATATCTAAGGGAGAGGGAAACTTCACGCTATACCTGTAAAGTTTACCAACTAAATAACTGAATCTAGGAAGCGCCAAAAGATCCATCTGTTTAATCCCTAGACTGATCTCAAATCACATATATATATAGCTATTAACTATTCAGATTTTGATCATGCTACCTCTTTTTATAGCATAATGATCTAATATCTTTTTTAATCAGGGTCGAAAAGCTCGAATGAAATTAACAAGGAGTTCTACTGCTACACAGCAACGTCAGTCTCGTGGGAGCCCTAATTCCAGCTACACCCCATATATGAATTCTTCTTCCAATGTTCACTACAGTAATTCGAGGGTTTCTAATGGAACATCAGGCATGATGATGGATGAGTATCAGAAGTCTAGCACTGAACCAACAGAGGGGACGTCTGAAGAGAGCCGTTAAGATTTATTGGTTAAGTGATGAGTTCTTATTAGTCTATACAAGCTTTTTGGGTGGTCTGCTTTCATACAACCTTGCATGCTTTTCTAGTCATGATATGTAATCACCTTATCAGCAGAAGCCTTGATTAAAAGCTAATCAGGCATGGCCTTTGGTATATTTTCTAGAATTACATGTCTCGTATTTGGGTTTCGTCCTCCCATTTTGGCAGAACATGCAAGGAAAAGCAAGAGATGGTTTGTAGGTTCTTGTCAACATTAATCATATCCTTTTTGTTTCTGTTTGGTTTCTAACCCTTAAAAAGAAAAAAAAAAAAAAAAAATTCATTGGGCTCTATGTTATAGAAGCTACCTGGTTTCTTTTTAGCCGAAAGCAAGTGCGGACTTTGAAAAGCTTTTCTACACGACGAGGTTCATGTAGAAATGTATACAATAAGACCAAAAAATATAAAGTGGTCACAATCATTATCGACCTCAAGATGTGAAATCGGGTGGCTGGATCATTCATTGGGCACAAAATCGAAACATATTTTCTCAAACTAACCATATGATGTACTTTAAACTGATGGATTTTACATTTGAGGCTAAAGGCGATTGTGACTTCATTGTACAATCTCGAGGCATATAGGGTGTATTTTCCTCCCCTTGGACAAAGGTCCATTAATCTTTCAGTTTTTTGTTCTTCATTTGATATTTCAGCCGCAGGCATCAAACTTAGTAGACTCAATTCCCGGCCCGATTCCTAAGCTCAAGTACGATGTTGTACTACCTGTTTTGCTCCTTTTTTTAAAGGTGGTTCAGTGGTAGTGATAAGATTATATCTTTGGGACGTAGCTTTGCAAAAAATCAATACCATAACCGATCATGGGACGAGTCCTACTTGTAACGCTTAAAAAGATTTTATATATTTTTTGAAAAATACCACATATTGCAGTGCAAAAGTATAGAAAAGCATTATATATATATATATATTAAAGTACACGAATGTCACAATCATTTTTCTTTATTTTATTTTGAATCAAGTGGTCGTAAGAGTGTCAATGATTAGAATCAAGATTTTTTTAAAAAAAATCTTGAACTTTGTGATACATTTTAAGCCATCCAATTTGTCAGTATTCTTTTAAAATATGTGTTTTTGTAAAAAAGTTATGTAATCCTCTATATTACATATTTCTTTCGTTTTGAGAAAATAACAGCAATTATGCATTTATATGATTGTTATATAGAAACACCACTATATTATGAAGAGAAAATTAGGCATTTATATGATTGTTAATTACGTTATTGAATTTCACCTAAATATTTTTGGTCTTAAATTCGTACATGTGTTGTTCGTTTTTTTTTTTAAATGACCAAACAATCCATAATTTGGATCTTCAATATTCGAAATTGATCATTTTAAAAATTTAGTGATTTGTTTGCAATCTTTTTCCATAAGCATTTTTGGATTCTTTTCGATTTTCATATTCCAAAAATTAAAAACTTTTCAGATTTTAAAATTTCGAAATTGCTCCTACTCTTGAGCCACAAGGCCAATTTTCCATTTTTTCAAAATCTGAAAATTTTTAGTTTTGGATTATGAAAATCCGAAAATGCTATGAAAAGAAAATTTGAAAATGCTCTTGGAAGAAAACCGGCAAGCATTTCAATTTTTCAGAATCCAAAAATTAGAAACTATTTATGTCTAAAAAATCTGAAAAAAAATACTAGTCCCGCTTCTGGGGCAAAATGCATACAAAGGGGGAAAATAAATTTTTGAATTTTGAAAATCCAAAATTTTTTACACTTTAAAAATCCGAAGAAATGGCAATTGGGAGGAAAGAGACAGAGAGAGATTGGGCATGAATGGATGTGTGTATATGTAGGAAGATACTACAAAACGGCTATAGGAAAAAATGAACAGTGATTTCTCCTATCCACGTCACCGTCCAAAGTTTATTGCACAGTTATGATTGTTCGATAGTGTTTTATTTTTAATTTTTTTATTCAAATAAGAATAATCTGAAGTTTGGACCGTGCATCCATAAAAAATAGGCAAATCTACGAAAAATATCAAAAAAATATTTTACCTGAAATAAATTGATCAAATACCCCGAAAAGTTTCAGGGGTATTTTGATCAAAATAATTTCGCGAATCATTTTTTTTATATTTTTATTAGGTGCGCCTCACTAAGATGTACATACGCTCCAAATTTTAGATCATTCCGATTTGTAGAAAAAAAAATGAAAAATGAAACACTACAGGACAATCGTGACCGTACGATAAACTTTAGACGGTGATGAGGGTAGACAAAATCACTGTTTATTTTCGCCTGTAAGGCGTTGGGAAGACTTTATATATATATATATATATATATATATATATATATATAGTGGTAGTGAGCTC